TTCATCTCTGCCTGTTTTCTGATACCAGAATGTGCAGCTCAGGGAGAAGGCAGTTAAGGGATGAGAAGCTTGAGAATTTGGTTTTTTTGTTTGTTTTGCTTTGTTCTGAGTTGGATACAAAGCTCATGTGTATATGTAGTCATGGTTTTGCAGAGAGATAAATGCACTGTATGGGAGGAAGATGAGTTTCTTTGTATCACTTTGCTCTAGAAGTACCATTTGGAAAGCTCTCATGTAGCATGATAACACTGGTTTTTGAACAGTCTAGATCTCTCAGTTATGGGTTTATTATCCTTATTTCCAGATACCAACTGCTCCGCCAAGTTACACTGGACGACACCTCTGGTGAAAAGCTGTAGGCTGTAGAGAATAAGAATCCTTGTTGCAGATGTTGTTCCCTGGCAGTGTGTCTTTGAGGGAAGGAATCCGTAACAGTACCAGAACAAAGCAACAAAACCTCCAGGATTTTTCTAAATCTGTCTAAATGTGAACACCATTGAACGGAGAATTGCAAAAATAAAATCGTAAAACTAAATCTGAATCTAATTTAAAACAGAAGTAGGCACACCTTAAATTGGCAGAGGGGATATTGTATTCTGAAGCGTAAGATACTCTCCTGTCTGTAACTCGTGTGCCAGGCAAGCCTGATTTTGGTGGTTGGCAGTTGCTTGCAAAATACCCTCCTCTCACCTAAACTTAATTCATGTTGCCACGAGAGATTGCAGCTACAGTGTGAAAACACGCAGGATTTTCCCCCATTTTGCTCCTTTTCCTGTCATTTCCAACGTCATGAGAAGTCCCTTGTTTGCTCCTCCCTAGCTGTGCTGTACAGTCACTCAGCATGGTGTGTAGTCAGACACGGTCCCAGGGGCGGCTCAGGTGCTCTGTGGCTGAAGCTCTGCTCTCCAGCAGCCGCCCGAGGAGGGCAGTTCTGGAGGGATGGGGCACGGGGGTACCACGGTGACCTGTTCCACGCGTGGGTCGGGCACAGCCGCTCCCGGTACCGGCCCCGAGCGGGGGGCGAGCAGAGAGCCCGCGGCCCCCGCAGGCCAAGCCGCTCCTCGGAGGATGAGTTTGTGCGAGGGCTTGGCTGGGAGAGAAGGTGCCTGGCGGTGCTGCTGGAGGGAGGAAGGGAGGCTCCTGAGGCCGGCCCGGGGCGCTGCCTGGGCAGGGTCCCCGGGCAGCAGAGGGGGAGCCCCGGCCGCTGGCCCAGCCCGGTGCCCCGGACCGCAGTTGTTCGTGCGTTTCAATGTGGTTGTGCATTTTAGTGCCTAGAGAGTAGAATCTCTGTGCTGGAAGTGGTTTGTTGTTGTTTTTGTTTATTTAAGGTGGTTTCTTCCCCGCTCCTCCCCATCCATTTTCTTGAGTTGATATAAGGCAGACTTTTCAAAGCTTTTCATCTTTGTTTTCTCCGGGTTATTTAAGCGGTTCCCATTGCCCATTTGTTGTGCCATGGTTTTTCATTATGTTCGAGCAATCATTCCTTTCTTTAACATTTAATACATATCGGACATTGAAAACATCACTGTATCCTCACTGTTTGGCCAATGTTAATCTTAGCTTTCCTCAATACTAAAAGCTAATTGTTTTTACTTGAAGGTATAGGAAACATATAACAATTAAACTTTGCATATGCTGTAATAAAAATATATATTTTCAAACTAAAAAAAGAATTAAAATGTACAAATAACTGAATAGCTTAGTAGCTTCACAGAGAGAAGTTACTTGCTGTATACTGCAGAAGAAAGACGAGCTTTTTATTTTTCAAGAGTCTTCCTGATTCCTCATGTACCTCCATTTCTACTGAATTAGGAACCTAGTCCTGCAGACTTGTACTCCCACCAGTAGTCCCATCGACACCAGTAGGTCTACGTACCGGTACAGAGGCTGCAAGGCCAGTCCCTAAGTGTTGCACACAGATATATGTATATATATATATGGAAAAGTATATATCGCCATTCTTGCCATGATCATCTTATGGGGTTTTATTTCAAAGCCCTTCTCCTCCAGAAGCAATGTTTTTCTGTCATGCATGAGTGGAGGAGTATGTCAGCTCCCCCCTGCCCTCCCCTCCTCGAGGCAAAGGAAGCATGTGCTTGTTTTAGGGATCCTTTATTTCATTTTCTATGTAACTAGATGGCCTTAGTAACCAAGTAGGGTAGGGGTGGATATTGCATGCTATCCAGTGACTTAGAAATACATTTTGCTTGTTATGAGCAGAGCTTTGATCAAGTAAGATCTTTAAAATAATGATAGCCACCCAGAGGACACGTAATTTGGAACAATAAAAAAAACTATTACTATAATTTGCCTGCAGAATTCTACTTGTAAAAACCAGTTAAAAAAAAATCCCTCATAAAACTCTTATCATGAAAACATATAAGATGACCATGGCATAAATGGTAGGACAGCTTTCTTTTAAAAAGTTTATCATGCTACAACCAAGACTTATGAATTATAACACACATTCTACAGTCCTTTGACAAAATCTACACAAGACACAGTAATCCTAAGAAACTTTATTTTTCTTTTTCTAGATGTGACTGAATTGATAGTTCCCAATCCTGCTTCTGATGAAGTTGTTTGGAATTTCAGGGCTTATGCAAAGATACAGCCAGATTTTACAAACTGCTATTCACATGACTAGTCTCATTGGGTTAGTCATGTGGACTATCCACTGAATTAAAAATCAGCAGGATTGGGTTTAATGTGTGGTGGTGAAAGTGTGGCAATAGATTTAGGGGGGTCTTTATTTTCCAATTTTATCCAATTAGTAGTGAGCAACTTTTTTTTTGTAAGTCACTAGTCTGTGATGTAAAATGCCCCAAAATAAAACTGTAATTGAAGAAAGGCACCTTTATGTTAACTGACATTTTTGTTACAGTATTTACTTTTGCCTTTTTTGAAAGTTTGCTAGAATATAGAGCATCTGTGAACCACATGAATAAGTAAGCACAAGCCTTTCACAGTTCTCCTAATTATAATTAGCTTTTATACTATAAAAGCTACTATGTTGTCCCTTGATGGTTATGTGCTCATGGTGTTTCCATGCAGAAAAATGAAATCACAAAGAATCTGACAAAAGCATCTATTACCAAAACAAGTTTTATAATGACTGGCTTTTGATAAATGGCAGGGAAAGTGTTCAAAGTCACACAGATCCTGGTCTGCTTTCAGATGGGTTGAGGGTGTTTGACACTTGCCAGAAAATAATGTAGCATCAGAAGAACACTCTCAATACATCCAGCTGTTTCTATAAACAAGGTACATGAAATACTATAGAATTAGCTGTTTCTGCTTCTAGTCTAAACACAGGCATCTTGTTTGGCTTTGTTTGAGCTTGATGCCTTGGGTCTAACCAAAGGCCATACAAAAGGGAGCATTGTAGCTTTTATAATAAAACAATTGGATTATTCTACCAACTTACAGGATTACAAAGCAGGTGCTTTTTATTAATTGATGAGAGCTAAAGCTCATTTTTGATAGATAATATATATTTATTAAATGTATTAACGTGTGTTTTATAACGTACCCTTTTTTCCGCTGATTGTTGCATACTGGTATCTTATTAAGTACATCTTTAAAGGATTTTCAAGACAATCAATGTGTACCATGATGACTGTACATAAGTATACAAAACTACAAAGGTTGTAAAGCATGGGCAAATGTTTTATTTTCAAAATGCTGTTCTTAATGAGAATAAAGGCTTTACTATTTACTTACAATGTTTGTGTCCACTTGGTTTTAAAATCACACCGATTTTTTCCATTGCAGTGAGCAGTGCTACCAACAGAATTGCCCCTTGGTGCAGTTCCTCAATATAAGCAGAGTTAAACTGAAGGAAAGGGCTCCTAAAGCACATTCCTCCACCTTTGGCCATATTCCCACACTTACCCTTAGCTCTGGCACCTATCAAACAAAGAGTGAGCCAGTCAAGGAGCTCAGCAGCCAAACTCTTAACACAAAAGGGATATTTTTTTTCCCCTGTTGGCTCAGCAGTTTCCTGTTCTGGTTCAATTGCTTGTGCTTGTGAAAAGGAGGAGACAGGAGAATACAGCTGGGCTTGAAGAGTGCAGGATGAGAGTTTTTTCATCAAATGGTTTGATTTTCCAGATCTGGAACTATCATCACCAACTAGGAAAAAATGCAAGGGGTGGGTCGGTGTAACAGTGAAGACAAAGTCTGTGCAAGTGATGGAAGAAATCCTTGTGGAACCACAGCAAGTACTAGAGACCACCCCTGTTTTATTAGGTGCTCAGTTAAAACAACTACACCTTTGACTTACATGGAATTATTTGTAGTTCTGCTACTATCTTCTCTAACTGTGAAATTATAAAGACATAAATAGGACTGTGCTTGACAGGGCTAAGTTAAAAAAATAATAAAGGTTCCTTAGCAAGAGGCCCAATCTGATTTTTACTGTGCTTGGACCTGAAAAAAGTAAGTAGCCAGCATAAGATTGCTGAAAATGCTGACACTGGGATCTTAATTCTACACTTTCTCAGCACATGTGCAAAGTGGTAACAAAAGGGCCTTTGACTTTTCTTCCCTGCAGAAATGCAGAGCAACCCCAGCTCTCATTGCCTTCCATTGGAAGTGCAGGGGCACAGTGTTTCTGCAAATTTGTCCATTCTGAACAGAGCCAGGAGTTGTGTAAATTGTCACAGCTCTGCAGGAGTCAGAGAAATCCAGTTTATGATAAAAGAAGATTTAACACTTGCCTACATGTGAGTAGAACCCCATTTAATTTCATCCAGAGTTTTGTTCCTTTTAGAAAAGGTTTTAAGTGAGCATTCAGGAACACAAGATAAACACAGATTCAACATTTTTGGCTAGATGTATGCCATTCCATCTGTTTTAACAGAATTGTGCTCACTTAGACTAAGACTGAATTTTGTCTTGGCATGCTGGGTCCTTACATAACCTGCCTTTGATTTACAATACCTCACATGTAAAACTTTAATGCTAAAAGCATTTCTAAGTCAGTATCACAAAGTCCATGAGCTCTGTGCTTTGAAATTTTAGTGAGGAAATTAAAATTGAGATGTTGAAGGATTTTGTGTACGTTAGTCCAGCTCTTCTGATTTGCTTCCCACTGCAACCATAAAAAAATAAATAAATAAATTAACAAGCACAGAAACAAAAAATAAAACATCCATACTTCCACAGCAAATACTCTGTTGTTCAATAAATAAATAAAAATCCCCTGCCCAACTCAAAAAGTGCATTTCTTCTTTGTATGGCATTTTTTCTCATGTTTTGACACAGCTTCAGCACTCAGATACTTGCACATAGTTCTCTGTGGCAGCTGTGGGAGTTGTGCATGTGTGGCTGGGAGCAGAGCTGTTTGCTAAGAAGTCACTGGATTGTTAAAAAAAAAAAAAAATTGAAAGCAGCTCTTTGAGGTTTTTGCTTTGAAGAATTTTCAATTAAAAGTCAGTGATGAAGTCATACAGTTCACCTAGCATATAAATATATTTTTGTCATTTAGGACAACAAGCAAGGTCAATAAAGAATAGTTTTTCTATGTCTCAGTGGAAAGAAGAATGTTATCCATGTGATTGCAAAGGGTCTGCCAAATGGGAAAAATCAGTCAAACAAAGAGCACAGGGTTGCTTGCTGGAGTAAACAATTCTAAATGAACAAAAGCTCTACATAAAAGTAAAATGTCCCACCCCCTAGTGAAAGCTGTTTTCAAAGCTCTGTATTCTTTCAGAATGTTGTAATACAGATTAACCTAATGTTTTTCTTCTGCTGATACAACAGTCTGGTTTCTCATTCTATTTGTGTGATTTCAGCTATCTTATTCTGGTTTTGATATTTTTCATTTTTACAAACTGCCTTTCAACTTAAATCTGCTTTTCTATTTCCTACACTTCAGATGTGTCTGTACTATACACTTTTTACATCAAGCAAGTTTGTTGGGAGACTTATATATAAAAGCTATGCTAGAGCCAAAGAAAGCCAAATAAGCCCCAAAAATCCCCTTTTGAACATACAGTTTCAGGAGAGCTTAGTTACCCTTCCAAAATATGCAACTGAAAACCAACAAACAAAATCCTCTTGGTGCATACTGGGAATACTGGGCTGCAACAGGCCCATGTGCTAATTTAAGGTGCTCAATGTGCTCCCAGCCTGGAGACTCTCAGCTCACAGGAAGTGCACAGGAAAAGTGCTGTATGAGGAGGGACACAGCAATCCCTTAGAAACCCAAAACGAGACTGCAGCAGCAGGACAAACCCTGTTTTACCATGGTCAAGGCAATACATGCTCAGTGCCTTGATGGCAACAAGACCTTTCTGGATTTTAGAGCTTCTGTTTGTACAGCTGTTAAGGACAGAAATCAAAAGTGAATTTAATGTCCCATATGACTGTGAATGTCCTGTATACAAAATACTTTCTATTGCACTGAATTTTATCTAATCTTCCTTGATGTGATGAGGCTGACATTTGCAAATATTTAATAAAAATTGCGACATTCAGAAACTTCAGGGCTCACACACTTTCAGATTAAAATGAGCAGGTGTTTTAGGTATCTGCTAGCAGTGCTTTTAGTCAGTAGTGTCCTTTTCTTATCATAACCTGTGTTACTTAAGCATAACAATTTCCAATCACATCACACCAAGCAGGAAGCACAGGCTGTCAGCATAAATCTGGATTTCAGGCAGTTATTTAAATAGTTTTTGACTTGCTTCCTATGCAGATAGAAAAGTAAGATGTCCTCAGGATTCAAATAAGCTGGAAGGATGGAGAAAGAAGCTGCCTGGCTACGTATCTCCACTAGAAATTTCCATTGGAGAAATGTATTTTTCAGACTGTGACACCTCAAACTGAACTAGCTTGCTTAAAATATTTTTAAATGCCTAAGGAAGATGTTTAGAACAACTTACACCACCTGATAATCCAGGTGGTTTTTTTCAGACAACACTTATCTAAAGCAATGAACAGTGTAAATGTCAACATCAACAGCCTGCTTACAACTGTGCCATTCCTTATGCTGAATTTTAGTTATTTCAGTCCTAAAGTCTAGAAGTCCTATCATTCTTTCAACAGAGGGATAAACCCATTTCAGTTTTCAGTTGCATTTAATAAAGTATTAAATCTGAACTTAAGCAGCACCATTCCTGTTCCATCTCTCCGTGTCACTGTGTGCAGTTATGCAGGGCCAGCTCCCACCACTGTGGGAATCACAGCTGTGATTCTGCTGCAATGAAACCGTTCCCTTTTCTCTGCTGAGATTTCCTGCATGCTGGGGGAAGGCATATGGACATTACTGGGCAGAACAAACTGGCCCAGGATGCCATTTACACAGTGGGGATTGCAACTGTGCAGGCAATGCCAAGAAAAGTGATCTCACAGAAAGCTGGATTCAGGAAAAATGCAAACACTTTAAATCCCAAGATGTTTGTGTAACTGATTGTATGAAAACTATCTACAGAGAATGTCTAATTTAAGGAGGTACAATATTAGAATTAACAATCATGCTCCTTGGCAGCATGATCAGTATTTCATATTCTTCTAAAACATCAGCTCCTATTTGAAGTCCTGAGACACATAGGAACTGAGGCCCTTAAGTGCTGTAACAGTGTAAGTTAAGAAAAAATAAAATCTCACATCTCACTTATTCTTCTAGCACTGGTATTTCTACCTGAACAGGTCATATGGTTTCTCCTATCAGAACAGTTTAAATTTTTAGGACTATGTTTCAGTCTTTTTACTCCTTACTCTTATTTTTTCATAGTAAGAAAACCTGATTAGACTATGCTTTAGTCACATGTATGTTCTAAATCATAGGACACTATAGCCACTACTGCAATAATAAGCACTAGTGGGGACTGTGATTAATTTCTTTGGAGGTGAAGTGGGGGTGTTCTTGAGGAGCACAACTGTTAACTGCTATTTTTGACCTGCTACTCCTACTACAATAAAGTCAACTACTACTTGGTCTGCCACGTTCCTTGGGAATGCAGCTCATTTGACATAGTTTATCATGTCTGTGCTGCAATGCTGAGGCACAGGTGATGGCTAAAGGGAGCACTGGAATGTATCTGGATTTACTGTTCATTAGCTCCTGGGAAGGGAAAATTCAAAAATCTGCAAAACTTGGAGCTTTTGTCCTATTTATAGAAGCATTAAGCTCAAACAACCTTATCTAATTTGGGTGGAAGACATAATTTCCCCTCATCTTAATGTCCAGGACTGGTGTTCTGGTTGGACACTTGGTTGTTTCAGCATAACAGTGAATAAACTATGACCTACTTTTTGCACTACTGTATAACACAATTGGCTTGTGACAGTAGCTTAGGAAAGGTTTATGCTCCCACTCTTTATTGAGTGCACTTCTTCACAAAACTCTAAGAACTACATGTAGTAATTTAAACAGTTGAAAACTGTAATGAAAACTACTATAGACTCAGACTATAAGAAGATGAAAATCCATTAAAGAAAATCTATTGGAATAACTTATTAGCAGGGGCTTAGAGTAAAATATATATATAGAAATGAGTTTCACCCTAGCCTCCCAATGAAATGCCAAAGAAGCCTGAACATGAAATTGGAGCCACCAGCAATCTTGCCGAAATAAGACCTGACTTTTAAAGAGACAGTTTTTTTCTAAAGCATTTATAGTTTCAGCCTCTTACTATTGGAAGGCTGCCTGTATACAATTATTAGTGAAACCTTTCACTCCAGGAAATATTCAGTAACTAGTGATAGGAAAATGATCTATTGAATACAGATATATTAACCAAAGAAGTGATAAAATGGAAATGATACCCACAGACACTCCTGCAAGTCATGAATCTGAAATGGAACTGTTAGAGGATCACTCAGCAGAAGAGGCTTCTGCAAAATGGATTTTTAAAAGGGACAGGACAAACCTAATTCTCCAAATCAGGAACAGAGTTTGTCAAATGCTTAGTCTAGCCTTCGTGACTGTAGAGGACAAAAAGTTTCAGGGCATTTTTTAATTCACTTAGGATCAGATTAGCAAAGCAAGAGCTGACATACAGGAGACTTCCAAACACCGACATTCAGCGATGCATATGGGAAATAAGGGCTGAAAGATCTCCAGCAGAATTTGTTTCTGCAATGCACCATTGCTTTCTTCTGATTTTGACAGGAAGACTCAGAATTCATTAGAATATATTTGAATGGCATTTTTACCATTCAAGGTGCACAAAAAGAAGAGAAATATGGGAAGATACAAGTATTAGAGTAGATGAGCAACTGACATGAACACCTCAGGAGAGAAAAAACTTCAGAGAATTAGATGTACTGGAGACTATTGCTTACAATTATCCAATTGTCCTCCAAATCATTCAATGACCTGAGATTTATGAAGAGAGAGCCACAGAAACACAACAGTTTATGGAACACAACCCTGAACGGAGAAGAAAATCCAGAATGAAGTCAACCAGCACATTTCCAAAGCATCTGATTAATGAGGTACTTTTCAATATAAATAGTCAAGGTAGAAAAAGAGAATGATGGAAACAAAGAACTGACCAGAAATAGAAATCATTCCTGAGTGGCAGGTCCTGAGCTAAAAGCATTTGGGGATTTATAGACAGAAACCCAGAATTCCAGATTTGCTGGGCAGCTTCATGAAAACTGCATTTATAACCATTAGCCACTCTTAGTTCTGACATGATTCCAATTTGCAAAAATGTGATAGGTTCTGTGAAGTTACCAAATTTAAACTCTTGTGCAGACTAAAACAAAGCATCAGGTAAGAAAGCAGACTTATGTCAGAAAAGACATCCAAGTGACTGATGCCACAGGGAGGGTTTCAAGGGAGTCAGGGCAAGCAGCTCCCATGTTCTGCAATCTGCACCCACTGCTCTGTGTTCTCTGAGTTGTATTTTAACACTCCACTAACACCTCGTGGTCTTTCTTTCCCTGCCCCACTTCCCCCCGTTTTGGTTTTTTTTTTAACCAAGAGTCTCAAATCTAGTTTTGCTGCAGGACTATTTGGACACTTTCTTTTTCAGTTGGTGACAGCCTTTTCTCCAGGCTTCTAACACATCCCAGAGTTATAAATAGAAATTTGGGGCTTGCTTATCTAAATGGCTTACAAAAAACACCAGCAGCAAT